TTTTTCCAATGTTGACTATTGTGCTCGAAGTTGTGGATAGACTGTTATAAAATTCATATTTGTTATTGTTTTGTTCCAAATTCTAGTTACAGCACAGGTATCACATTGATTCTTGAAAATAACTGCTATGGCCGAAAGTATTTTGAACAATTGTTTTCGTGCATTTTGAAATAATAGATTTTTTAAATTCTTTAAATGAAATATTGACCTTGTCAGTCATATATAAGAGAGTTGTATAACTTAAGATGTACGGCACGGAGAAAATTTCCTCTGTCTTCAAACAAGTTCTTCGTTACAAAGACGTTTGAAAATACAACAGGAAAGAAAGCGACGCCGACCCGAAACCAGCAAAACCAACGCAGCAGATCGCAGCACCTGAAATCTTGCTGTTAAAACTGGGCGTCAGAGAAGGAGAGAGAACAAGATTAGAGAGCGCAGACGACTTAGAAAGTGGCCCATTGTACCCATAGGATCAGATACAGGTTTCACTTACGGCGATTGCAGCGGACACTTCCGTTTCAAGATCGATCAATATAGTCACAACAGGCGCTGGAAATCACCCACAGACTGAACCAACCCCCGGCGCATATTACAAGGACAGAAGGGTGCCAATCATGATGGAGCTAAAGACCCTACCAGAATTTATTATCGGCGAGCGCAATCTTAACAACATATGATACGAAGATTACATTTTGATAATGGCTGATACAGAACGAAAACAGTGGACGGACATTTGCGTTCCTGGACAAATGCGGCGCTGAATAATTGTGCATCTCTGATACTTTTTGAATTTACCATTTTTTTTAAAGAGATGTTTAATTTAGAAATTAGCATACCAATACCTCTGATTACTCTAAACAAGCAGAAAGTTAGTTACCATAATTAAAAAAGAGAGAAAAAAAAATCTTTTTTAAAGCAAAAGAAAATTAAGCTAGCAGTTTCAGTTCACTCCAGCAGGATTTTACAGATTATATTTTTATTTAGAATAAGTTTCGAAAATCAAACACTGGTGCCAAAATATTTGTGGACAAGGAAAATTACAGCTACCACTATCATAAGAAAAACGCCGATGAAACAAAAATATACTGGCGATGTGTAGAGCGAACTTGCAACACTTAATCTGTCAGTGTATATTAAACAAAAATAAACTGTTAAGGTTTTTTTTTATTCCTTTTATTAAAAAAATCTATGATTGTTACCTACGTCTTTTTCAAAATTTATAGTAATTGTCTTTAAAAGCTTCAAAAATTATCAGAGGTACGCGATTATACAAGGACGCATTTGTCCAGGGACGCATTTGTCTAGGGACACAGATGTCTACGGACGCAGTTGTTTGGTACACAATTGTCCGGGAAACAAATGTCACGTGCGCAACTGTCCTAGAACCAAGGAAAACTACAGGATTTCTTAGACAAGGTAGTAAAAGAAAGCAAGAAATGTGGACTATCGATCAATTGTAAGTAGAGAAAATGTTTAGTTATCAGTAACAGAAAAAGCCCAAGAGGCGAGCTAAGAATTGATGATGTCAAAATCAAACAAGTTCAGAAGTTTAAAATGTCTTGGAAGGGTTTCAACAGAAGATAGGAAGATATGATACCGAAATCTGATGACTGATTGGTCTAGTAAAGGATGCATTCCAAAAACTAAGCAAATTATTAAGAAACAGGAAAATTTCCTTAGAAACGAAAGAAACAGAGTTGAACTGTCATGTAATATCAATCATTCTATATGACAGTGAATGCTGAATAATTTTCGCGTGTGAATTTTACAGAATGATGCCGAAAATAGCATGGATGGAGCAAGTAAGAAACGAAGAAGTCTTAGGAAACAAAAAAAAAAAAAAAAAAAAATTCGCAAGAGACAACTAAAATTTCTTGGGAGCATAATTAGAAAAGACATGCTTGGAAAATTTGACACTCACAAGATATATCGAAGTCAAAAGAGAGACAGGGAGAAACAGAGGGACAACTAGCTGATGAGCTTATGGACAGCAAAACAGTGAGTGGGAGTGAGGTAAAGATTATTAAGAACTGCAAAAGATAGGAATTTATTTTTGTTCTTTTAATCAGATTCACCCCAAGCAAGGCTGCAAAGACACTAAGGAGTTACTACCTGTGAAACAATTAGAAAATAGGAACATTATTAAAGAACGAGAACAATAAAAGACTAATCCGGTAGACAGTAGATAACGATTGACATTGCATTTAAATTTTTGGAGATGAAAGTTGGTCGGAAATCATGGAGCCGGAAAAGAGTTCGACAAGAGAAAAAAAACTATTAGCATCAAACTTAGCCAATTGCATCACATCTAGCCAATTGAACTGTAAATTGATGAAGGATTGGTCTAGGTACCATAACAAAGAGCTCATTCGAAGAATTACCATGTATTTACAGAAAAGACACTGGGACGATATAGGAGGATAGATATCTCGTAAAAATTCAATACTCTTTTCTTTGTTTTTAACGATATTTTTCTGTCTCTTAATACTCTGCTTAGTTTTTGGAATGCATCTTTGGCTATCCCAAAACGTTTTCGGATCTCAGTGTCTTCCCAGATATTTAAATTTTGTACCTGTTTGTTTTTACTATCCCTGATTTGTAATTTGTGTTTTCCGTACATCCTTTTGCTGATAACCATGCATCCCGTCTTGCAGTTTATACTTAGTCATTTCTTCTTACTTCTTTCGCTACTTTCCGTACAAGCATTTGTAGTTCCCTTTCCGTGTCTGCTATCAACACTGGGTCATCTGCATATCTTATATTGTTAAGATTGTGGCCGCCAATAATAAATCCTGGTAGGACTTTTAATTCTTTCAGAATTGCCACGCTGCATAGGATGAATAAATCCGGTGAGAAGACACCCCTTTCTATTTTTGTATCTCTGCTGAACTCATTTTCTGCCCGTATGCAGGCGGTTTCCTGCTAGTATACATTATTGATTATTCTAACATCCTTCCTTAATATGTCAAGGTTGCTGAGCAGCTCTAACAAATCTTTGTGGCGTACATTATCGAACGCCTTTGCGTAATCTATGAAACACAGGTACAATAAAATGTTAAATAAAACCCCATGACCTAAATGAATAAATTTTATTTCAAATACTAAATCTTAGAACCAAACAAAATTATACGAAAAAAAAAATGAAAAAAAACCCTCAAAAGAAACGAATTATATCACTATAATAAATGCAGACGTTAGTGTGTCACACTTTTTTTAATTTTAATCCTAGAAGCCGTAGCCCAACATTTTAATACAATTTAAGAACCAGGCCGACTCCGTGAGCAAATTAAAAATATTCCGGGTTGGATCCTTACCTGCAATCTTGAAATTTTTGTTTCACAATTTTTCATTACAACGATTGTTTTCGGATTCCGTCATCTTGGCTTCTACTGATAAAAACATTTAAAGGGAGACAACTCACTAACTTTCAAACGCTCATGTTCAAATGAAAAAAAGAATTACTGTTCTAAAATTACAGTGTTTGAAAATAAAATTATCTTTGTTTTCAACTTTACTCCGAGTGGCCGTAGCCCATATCATACCATTTTGGAATCAGGCTGACTCCGTGTGTAAATTAAAGACATTTCGGGCTAGATCCGGACCCGCTGTCCTTAAATTTTGGATTCCCAAGTTTACATTACTGCGATTGTTTTGCGACGAATTATTTTGTACGATAACAATTTTTATAACTTGGAAATATATTTGGGAATAATCGAAATTAATTGTGAAATCTAGCGAAAGTCACTCATGAAATAAATAATAATTGTTTGCACGGAAATAAGGACCTACGTACATCAAGTTGTCTTTCAATTAAGTGGAGGCAGAACAATTATCGTTGAACTTTTAAAAGGTAAGTTTAAATATTAATGCAATACCTAAATGCAGCGATCAATTTTGAGTTCTGTAGTTTATTGGTGCCTATCGCATCTACACTTTACCTACTGTGATAAAGGCCCAATCAAGAGCCCTCTCAGGGAGGTTTTTAAGCTAGTATATAAATAAAATTAAAAATAAGCCAAAGTCTAAACAAAATAACTGGGAACATTTCCTCTCCCTCACTCCCATATATTCCGCAGTGGCCGGCGAAAAATGTAGTGACACATGGTCTGTAGATCGCGTGAGGCGTGAAACTGACAGGAGAGTGTACATAAAAAAGAAGGATATAGGTTTGCATTCAGTAATATAAACTCTGTGTATGAAATCATTAGGTTGGGATATTTTATTGCATTTTCCCTAATCAGATTTTAAAACCGGGAAGATGTCAAGTCTTTATTATTACAGTTGTTTTCGTCCAGATTATTTTAAAAAGAAATAAATGAATTATATTTGGTATCGTTTGGTTTGCTTTGTTTTGTTTCACGGCATACCAACCTCATTGGGTTATTTAATGCCGACAAAATTTTTATTGCCGGTAATATTTTGTTTTGTCAAAAATCTATTTCTGGTAACATTTTTTCCTTCAAAAATGTATTGCTGGTAATAATTTTTTTCAAAAAAGTATTGCTGGTAATATTTTTTCCTCAAAAGTGTATTGCTGTTAATTTTTTTTTTTCAAAAACGTATCGTTGGTAATTTTTTTTTTTTCAAAAATGCATTGTTGGTAATAGTTTTTTTTTTTTTTTCAAAAATTTATTGCCGGTAATAAATTTTTACAAAGTATTTCTGGTATTAAAACCTATTTTTACACTTTCATAGTGTTTTTACCCCAGTTTCGGAGTTAACTATTTGCCCATAGCTGGGACCCTAACAAGTGCTACCACCCCGGGTCAGGGTGGACGTGGAAACACCAACAATTGATCAGAGGCCTTGCTGCTGGATGTAGTTTATTGTCTTAACCAGGACGCGGTGGTAGTTTATCGTCATACCAGGGTGGGAATTATTTTATGATAGAATTTTGTCATACGGATGTGATGTTTTTTTTTTTTTTGCTACACAAACACAAATGAAAATGATTTTCTTACTTTCAAAAATGCGACAATATTTTCTGAACAACCTAAAACTAACACTCAAAATGAAAAAATGAAAAGAGATTGAGAGAGAGAGAGAGAGAGAGAGAGAGAGAGGGGGGAGGGAGGGAGAGTGATTAATCAGAGAGTTTAACAAATATATGACATCTTTTTTACTGGTCGAAAGGCTAAGAATAAGAAATCAAGTAGTTACCATATAGGACAGGTGTTAAAAATCTATGAATACAGTTTAGACTGGGTTTCGAGGTGACAACAGGTGGCTGGTATAAGAATAGGCCAAGAAGAATGATTAATTCAACACCGTTCGTTTTTTAGGTTGATATTTTCATGAAAAAAGCTAATATCTAATTGAATACCTCATGTATAAGTCAACGTTGTCTCAGGTGAGGAGGAGCGTTTTTAGTAAAAGACGCAATGACCCGTAGCCTCGCATTACGCCGCATAGCCGTCCGTATAACTCACACCAGATTTCCCCGGAGACGAGCGCAACTTTATTTTGGCCCAGGAATATTTTATTTCATTCAGCTGGAGGTCTTCTTTTTTATACTGTCAAGAAACACATGTGTATTATTTTAAATAGAATTAAAAAGACTTAAATCTTAGCTAGTATGTGAGCGCTACGCAGCAGTTATCAGCGCGAAAAGTAGAATCGAATTGTCAGGTTAAAATGCCCCTGGGAAAAACATCTCATCTTCCTTGCCTATTGGTTAAATGGTAGGGTAGACTGGACCCTTTAGCCTTGATTAGTAACCATTGTAAAAGAATGAACACCTCGGAATTCCTAAACCGTGGAGAAGGTAATAGGAAGCCATTCCAATATCTTTCCGAAGAAAGCAGAGCAATTCACAGATAATAACGAACATGTGTTGGATAGCCATGATCGGTTCCGCCCTGAAAAGAATGCAAATTACATTAATACGCGCATATTTAAGTGTCTTTTTTTATTTTAACGACGGAATGCACACACACACACACACACACACACACACACACACACACACACACACACACACACACACACACACACCTACGGTGCTATGAGGGAGGCCTCAGCCCCAACGTTTTGAAGAAAATGAGAACTAACCATTAAACTAAATTCATCTTCTTAGCTTCAATCTATAATCTTACTATTATATTTTTTTAAAATCATTTCACCCCAAGCAATGCGATAATACCACTAAGATGCAAAGTGTGATAGAGAATGAGATGACACGAAAGCGGAAACCAAACCCTAAACAGGAAACAAGGTAAAAACCTCTATTCCTGTTCAAAAGAAAGGGAAGGAGTGTGAACCGAGCGATAGGTTCGCCTATTGCCCGGTTCACATTGCATATGCTGTAAAGTCTATAGGTTACACTCCAGAAAATAAGTACAACCGAAAAGAAGAAAAGTAGTATAAATATCTTCATAAAAATAAATAGATCTAAAAGATGGCCATTTTATTGGGCTGGTGCATAATTATCAGGCGTTTTTATAGGCGAATTATTTGTTAATAAAAATTATTTTTTTGCTTTTTTTAATAAAAAATATTTTATTTTCAGGTTATAAAAATGAGTGTCGATCATACTCGTTTAAAAATGTTATTGCTGAATTGTTATGTTTCTTTTTCCATAATAAATATTGTTTAAACACGCCTGATAATTATGCACCAAACCAATATGAATGGATCAGATAAAAAATATAGAATCAGAAATCTTTGATTTAACCTCTAGTCTGAATTTAACATCTTATTTAGCCTCCACCTTTTATTTGGTAGCATTTTGTAGATACACATAACCATGATTTCTAACTGAATAAAACTATTTTTTTTAAAAATAGGCAGAAAAAGAAGCCAAAATAGCTGCTGTATTTTTAAGAATGCTTACAAAATACTCGATAATCACCAATATTGCGCAGGCTAGTGATATCGACCTGACCGTTTTGCCGTGAAAATCCATGCAGTTAATCAATGGATATTTTAAGAAATTTAAGGTTGGAACACACTACATGAGGGAATTTTCACGCTGAGAGAAAATTATCCAGCATTCACTGCCATTACTCACCTTCCTATCTTTTTTTTTTTAATAATCAGTGAAGCGGAAACAACTGCATTTATCGACAAATAGACCATCAATTCGAATATTTCCTTCTGTTCAGTTATTTTCCCAGTTCAAACAATCACTTCTACTTAAGGATTAACCGCTTCAAGTGTCCTGCTCTCTGACCCCTTTAGCCACTAAAATCCACTTGTAGACAATTTTTCTCCAATCCGAACTCCAAATATCCCACCCTCGAAGTCGACCACCTGCCGCTTCATTTTAGTGAAGCTATTTTAAACCTATTCTAAATCGCATTTTAAAACGCTATTTTATTAAGAATAATATCCGCTTTGAAAGAGCGGATCATGAATTTTTAACTATCGCGATGAATGGGTGCCCTCTCAGAGAGACTTTGTGTCTTGAGCGCCTATTGGGACTTCAGCTCAATCCAGACCTCGAGTGGAATTCCTACATACGATCCTTTGCTAAAGATACTGCAGAAATGATCGGTCCCCTGTACCGCTACAGTAAATACCTGACTCCTCATGCTACCCTCTACCTTTACATGAACCAGATCAGGCCGAAAATAGAGCTATATGTGGACAGGAGCTGTCCAGTCTTCATTTTCCAGTTTCGATTGAGCACAAAAGCGTCCTCACAGTACAGCCACTAGCATGCAAGGGGTTACAGGGTGTGTAGGAATTAGGAACAGATAACATTACTAATGAAGAGAAAGAGAAAAGACCAATCAGGAGGACAGTAGATAGCATTGCGTTTAAAATTTTGCAGATTAAATACCATGAAAAAAAATGCTGTCATTAATAACTTAATTCAAACTCATTTCCTTTAATTTTAATAATTTTCTTTAAAGATTGAAATAATATAAAGTAAATACTTATCAATGAGGACTCTAATTATATAGTCGACAAACAAATCTAATTTATTTTAAACAACACCAATTTTAATAATAAGAAAAAACTACAGTCAAAAACAGAATATTGACAATAACGCTATTAACATATATTAGCAAAATCAATTGTAACACAATTACAAAAAGACGAAACGGCAAAAAAACATATAGATATATAAAACATGTGAATAAAAATAATACATTAAATTTAAAAGCTAACAACTTAGTTATTAAAAATAATATATCCCGAACTTCCAACCTCCCATATAAAGCCAATATTCTGTATGAATATACTTGCTAATTTGGATATTTCTCTGTAAATAAAAAATACAAAAGGTCTTACATAGGATATACAACAACTACACTTTTACAGAGAATCACTTGCCATCTATCGGACCATATTACCATCAGACAACACATTAACACGCGGCTTAAAGATCATATTAACAGTAGACAGCTACTCACAAACGATACAAGCAAAATCAAATAGTAAAAACAGATTTATGGTCATTGATCAATACTCATACAACAAAAACAACCATCAATAATAAAAAAAAACAAGAGTCCGTATCCTTAATTTTATATATATATATATATATATATATATATATATATATATATACACACGCCACAACATTCATTAGGTCCCAAAAATCGCCCCACGTGCTTTCATCACTTACTTCTAAAAGCTTAGAGGTTTTATAGCATTCAAAATTTTTATTTCTGATGATGAAAGACGAAAGCTTGGACCATATTTCCTGTACTTCTGAAATGAAGATTGGACAATTTCTTATTGAATTTCCTCCTTATCTAAAGTTGGAAAAGTCGATCATTAAAATTAATCAACGCAAAATGTCCGCCGTTTTTAATAGTATTTGCCCTCTTGCACATTTGCTACCTAACTACACAGAATATATATGAATTACATAAAATGAAACGCAATTGTGTCAGGTCATCTGATAAGTTCTGTCCGAATTTTGAATAAAGAAAACAAGAGACCAAATGTTACATTTAATTACAGATTCAATCAACAATGTATTTTTCCTGATTATCTATGACTTTCTTCCATCTATTAACAAGCTTACTAATTCCATTACGGTAAAATTCTTTTGGCTTTGATTCGAAGAACCCACAAATGTCAGTTTTAACCTCTTCCTGTGTTACAAAAGCTGTTTCTTCCAAATGATTCTGTAAGCTACGAAACAATTGGTAGTCTGAAGGAGCAAGATCGAGAGAATATGGTGGATGAGGAATTTTCTCCCAACCAAGTTCTTCGATCTTTTGTGACGTGATTCTTGCTGTGTGGGGTCGCATATTGTCCTGATAAAACATCACCTCTTTTCTATTCACTAGAGCAGGTCTTTTTTTTCCTCAAAGCTTGGTTCAATCGCTCTAATTGCTGACAGTATATTTGAGCATTAATTGTTGAATTAGGTGGTAAGAAATCAAAGTGGATTATTCCTTGGCGATCCCACCAGACGGAAAGAAGAAACTTTTGCTCATGAAGTTCCCTTCTCGGCTGTGGCTGGGGTCCTTCCCCTTTACCAAGTCACTGTCTACGACGCTTAACATTTCGATAAAAGATCTATTTTTCGTCAACTCGGGATTTGATGTTTTCAGACAATTCACGAGGCACCCATTTTCCAAGTTTAGGAACTTTTCCAAGTTGTTGAAGATGACGATGAACAGTTGTATGGTTTGGACTGAGAACCACTGCCAATTCCTCAACTGATAAAGTAGGATTTTCTTCAAGTGCTGCTTCAAGAAGCTTTTCATCAAACTCAATTGGACGTCCGGATCAATCTTCATCTTCAAGGGTGAAATCTCCACCTCTGAATTTTGCAAACCATCTTCTGCAAGTTCTTTCATTCACACTTTCCTCTCCATAAACTGAGTGAATGTTTCTAGCCGCTTCGGCTGCTGAGTTTCCTTTCTTGAACTCATAAGGCATTATGTGCCTCAAATGATTCTTGGGTACTTCCATGTTAGCAGGGTTTTAATCAAACAAAATTTAATTTTATTGTTCTCTGAAATAAAATTTGATCAGTTTAAATGCATCTAAACATAAAAATGTTCAGCTCCATTAGACATTATAAAATACTCTTTAAATTTCGTTCATTTATGGGATGACCTGATAATTCATATATATGCTTTCATTTTTATGTAACTCATTTATATGAAAATGAGGAACAGATTTTTTATTGTATTTTTCCAATTGTGCGGTCTCGTTCCCGAGTGTTACACATGACGTCACGATAGATCGTTTCAAACGTTCAGCTTCTCAAAGAATACCAGGATGCAGACAAAGGAATTCTAACTACCACACTTCTCTGTAGCTGAATGGTACAACACGTCAGGCCAAAAGATGGATTCTGTTTAGGAATACAGGTTCGATTCGATTCTACGAAATTTTTCGAACATTCAGGTCGGTAAATGTAATTAATAGTGTTTAATTAAAAAACAGAGTATTTACTTAAATAAACTGTATTTATAAAAATAATGTATAAACAGAATATATATATATATATATATATATATATATATATATATATATATATATATATATAATATATACAGGTGCGATGGATAAATTGTCTTCTAAATTAAGCAAAAATGAAAATAGCACTAACATCTTATTTTAACGGATATATTTACCAAAATGGCACAAAAATATCTTGAAATACTAATAAGTAAATTTATTCAATAAAATCGACATCGGTATTAACTACGGCCTCCAGACGACTTTGGGATCTCCTGCAACTCTTCTTGGCGGTCTCCTTAAGTTGGTGAATGTTGCTATAATACTTGTCTTCAGTTCATCTTTGGTGTCACAAGGAGTTTTGTTGGCCTTTCGCTCGACTGCGCCCCACACATAATAATCAAAGAGTTTGCGGAGTTAGATGGCCAGCTGTAAGGGGTGATGTGGTCGTAGAAATTGCCTGACAGCCATGACGGGGTTCTCCTACTTGTGTGGTATTGTACAGCGTCTTGTTGCCAGTCTTAGTGTCTTACAGCAGCCGCCCTCTTGATCCAGGGCAGCACTACCTCCTCAAGGCACGATGTATACCTTCGTGTTGAGACTAAATGCCTCACTAACAAATTCGGAAATTCTTTTCTCATCAGAATGATTAGAGTTTTCTGAGCATGCCTACACACACACACACACACACACACACACACACACACACTCATATATATATATATATATATATATATATATATATATATATATATGTACAGTCGAAAGTATAATTTTACAAAACAAGGATCATAACATTCATCAAGTGATTAGTAGGTTAATGCATTTTTAAAATTTTGTTAGCGAAGGGATTTCGCTATTTTATATCATTAACTTTACTAATTTACTTTTTGTATGAATGATTTATTGTAATATAAATTGAACTGCCCCACATATTTGATATATGTATGTATGTGTGTGTGTGAAGCGACTAATAGAAAAAACATATACAGACATATATATGTTTACATGTCTTATTGAATACGCCAAACAAAAAATACTTTACTTATTTTATTTGATGAAGTAGTTTTCTTTTGTTCCCAAAAAGTGAACGAAAAGGCGCATTGGGATAGGGAAAGATGCCTTCCAAAATCTAAGCAAAGTATTAAGAATCAGGAACATTTCGTTTGAAACAAAGAAAAGAGCACTGAACTCTTATGGTATATCAGTCCTCGTATTTAACAGTGACTGCGGGACAATCACCACATAGAAGAAGAAGAGACTTAAGACAACAGAAATGTAGTTCTACAGAAGGATGCTGAGGATACTATGGACTGAACATGTGAGCAACAATTTACTTGATCAATTTCATTATTTCTAGTCTATCCTCTATTACTATACGGACCGCTATTCTCTACTCTATTTACTATTACTATTTCTCTATTTAGATTACTATACAGATTACTATTCGAGCGAGTATTATCGAGTAAGTACTATTAGTGTGAGTGATTATTCGAAGGCGTCTAACACCAGTATTGTTCAACGGCTTTATTATAGTTGTATCTACGATTACAAAGTCTCTACTACATCGAGCATTACGAAAAGTGACAACGGGTATTCTTTGACGTCACAAAAGTGGCAAACTTACCTGTCCGTAATCATTTTAAGTATAAACGCAAAGGGACTGACGCTCTAGGGATCTCTGTTCATGGGCGGGAAGATCTGGGGAGATTTTGACTGTTTTTTCAAGATAGTTAGGAACATTCTCAATAGGAGATCGTCTGAACAGACCAGATTACCCATCCTGAAGGTAATTTTTTTTAACTGGGCCCTGCCTGCTTTTGTCAAAATTTCTCCCAATATTGTGCACATTTGGCTGTGATGAATGTACCCGGTATGCCCTTAAGAAACTGGTTCTTGTGATGCGTAAATTTGTGTAATAATTAATAGTGTAAAGAACTGTGAGGCGTATTGGTAAATAAGGTTGAGGGAGGAAGATATAGATAAACTGTAGAAAAAATTGGTTTATAAAGTAGAGATATTTTTAAAAAAATATGAAAGAAAGACGTAAAGACAACAGAACCATATTAAATAAAGAAAGAAGGAAAAAAAAAGCTACGGTGGTGACTTTCTAAGCGTAGTTTAGATGTGGCACAAGGCCGAAATCATTGATCGAATTCACTATTCAATCGTAATAGAACAAGCGAGCCTGGCTGACTATTACATTACATCGGAGAAAAAAAATGCTATGAACAGATAAGTTAAAACGAAAATGTTTTCCGATAGAGGCTTTACGTGTATGCAAGTAAAAAGGTGAAAGTATGAAAGAGAAATGAGAGCGAAAAAGAAAAGAAGGTAAAAAACAAGAAATAGAACGAAGATAGAGAAGAAGAAAATGAAAATAAATGAGAACTCATAAAGAGGAAAGAGAGAGAGGGAGAGAGAGAGAGAGAGAGAGAGGGGGAGAGAGAGAGAACAAACAAGAAAGTGTGAGGGAGAGTGAAGTTAAAAACAAAAGTAATGGAGAACATAAAGAAAAAACAGAGAGAAATGGAAAACTGAAACTAGAATAAAGAATAGGAGGAGGAATAGATACAAAGGAAGAGAGTGTAGAGAACGAGAAGAAAAAAAATGTATAGAATAAAGAAGAGTAATAGAAAAATGAGAGGAGGGGGATGAATGAAGAGAAAAAGAAGAAAAAATAAGGAGAGATTAGAGAACCTGGAGAAGATGGGAGGAGAGTGTATCGGAGTAGAAGGGGAAAAATTGTAGAGAAAGAGAAGAAAATGAGAGGAGGCGAATATATCAAGCGAAAAACAGGCAAAAGCAGAGGGAAGACTACAGGAGAGAGTGGAGAACCTGAAGAGAGGAGGAGAGGGTATCAGAGTAGGAGAGGCGAGATCGTAGAGAAAGGAAAAACAAACGAGAGAAAGACGATAGAAAATAGAACGAAAAAGAAGGAAAAGGAAAGGGAATATAGAGTAGGAGGGGAGAGAGCGTTGAGATCGAGAAGGGGGAATGAGAAATGGAAAATAAGTAAAAAAGATGGGGAAGAGGATAGGTGTTGTCAGAGAGACAGAAGAAAAAGAAACGTGAAAGGAATTTAGAAAATTGGTGGAAAACTGAAGAAAAAAATCGTTGGTTGAAATGAGGAGAGTTCAAAACGAGGCAGAACAAAATATCAGGATGCGTACGGAAAATAGAAAAGAAGGAGTAGGAGAAAGGCAAAGAGTCAAAAGAAGAAATAAGAGAAAAGGAGGAGGAGGAAAATGAGGGAAGCGAAAATGGAAGAAAACGAAAAGAAAGAGAGAGAGAGAGAGAGAAAGAGAGAGAGAGAGAGAGGGAGGGAAAGAAAGAAAGAAAGAATAATGAATACGAGGAACTTTCAATTGATCAGAGAAGGCAAAAGTGATTAAAAAATGAAACAAGCGTAAGTAAAAATAAAACGGAAATAAATACATAAATACATAAATAAATAAATAAAACGAAGCAAGCTCGTTGAAAAGTCCAGAATCCTGCATCAAGAAGAACTGACAGTAGATGGAGAGACTCAACACAATGACACTCATCTACAGACTGCAATGAACGCACTGAGCTTCATCGATTGAAAGCTGTATTGCAAATACTTCAATTGAGACAACGAAACCCTTTATGAGGAGTGCACAGCTTGGAAAAGGGTTATTATTAGAGTTGTTCGATTAGTTTTAGAAAACGAATGAAGAAAAAGCCATGCGAAGAACAAGTGGTGAATTGACCGAAACAGAAAAACACATAAAGAGAGAATAAATGCATGTCAAGCAATTACGTCAAGGAAAAGACTGATAAGAGCCAGAAAGATGGCAAATGTCGCCTTCGGAAGCAAAGAAACGCGGGGATGTAGACGCCATCATAAGGGAAGTGAGGAAGATCTATCAAAAGGAATATAAACTCAAAGATGTCAGGGTAGGAACAAAGATACCTTGGGAACTATGCAAATGACTTTAGTTCTAAGAGATTATCATAAAAAATACTGAGAACAAAAGAAGCAACAACTTGCATTATACGAAAACAATATATATATATATATATATAGTCGACTCTCCCGTCGATTCGAGGTATGGGGGCCAAGCAGATCAGTTTCCAGGAAACCGACAGCCCGACAACGGCACATGAGATTTGATTATAGTGGTGAAGGACCATACACACTTTTTAAAGGGCCGAATACAGAGACCTGGTGCACTAAGGTTTTGAATTCAGCGTTGTCCTCCTCCTAGACCAGTTGCCATCCTAAGCTATAGAACCTAGTCTGTCCTGCTATCTACCCATAGCTGGAGAGAGAAGAAGAGGATTCACACGTATTAGCACGTAAGTGAATGTAATGGATTCGACTGGAATTCGAACTCGGCTCTGCGATTCCTCAATCCAAGCCGCTATCCATTATTATATATATATATATATATATATATATATATATATATATATATATATATATATATATATATATATACCCAGTGAAAGATTCAGAAATCCCCCAAAATTGACTATATGAGCATTGGAGATATACACTGCGTGAAATCACTTTAAATGTGCTGCTATTTCAGCGTAATACATCGGATCGCATTTTTGACTTAATAAATGCTACTCTGGTCGTTTTACATGGCTTAGATACGAGGTGGGGGCTGAAAAGTTTATCGGCTTACTATGAAGGAGTGATGCTAGAGCTGTGAAATCTTGTATGCATTAATTTCAATATTTCCTATTAATAGCTGCTTTGCTTTTTCTAGGTAAACCTACATTTGACTGTTCAATGAAGAATTGAAATGCAACTAGTAGCGACTTCTCTTGAAAATGGACAAAATTTGGCCTCGTTACGTTATCAAGTAGCCACAGAAAAAGGGTTTAGCCCCTAAGGACATTTATGCTGATATGATTGTTACATTGAGGTGGGGGGGGGACTCCATCTTTATCAACAGTGAAAGAGTGGGCAGCTGAAATTAGGAGGGGGCAGGGAGTGACTTGAAAATATCCCAAGGTCTAGAAGTACTGCAACTACTACCACCACCAAGGTAAGCATTGATCGTGTTCACCACATGGTAATGGATGAAATCAAATAGCCAATGCCATTACTATATCCCGTGAGATATTTAAGAATATTCAGCACAATGTACTTTGCATGACGAAGGTTTCTGTTTGGTGAGTGCCACATCTTCTGACACGTGATCAAAAGCGCAATGATATTGTTTGGGACAGATTGAGTTGGTTTCCTTGAACGTTATCTAACCCAGTGCTGAGCCAGAGACATAGAGACTACCCATCCAGTGGAAACCCACCTCAATTGCTCCAAAGAATTTAGCATCATAGTGTTATCAAATACCACCATATAATAGTATTTGTTTTATTAATAGCGTGCTTAGTAGTAAGTTGAAAGAACAAACAAGGACACGTGTGTACTCATACAAGCCGATTTTTCGGCTGGGGTTTTTGACAAATATTGGATCGTTTCTTGGCCTATGGCTGAGATTCGATCAAGGCTTTGACTAGCTTGGACTGGCTTCGGCCTGGACCTGTTAGGACAAGTCATGACCAGCTTTGACTAGGCTCTGACCAGCTTGGACAAGCTATGACCAATTTTGACCAGTGGCCTTTGAGTGGAAACGCTCGGGTCTCCCACGTTAATCGACTTTGTGTCACATCTTGATTTTGTGGGAATCAAGTAAATACCACTCATACAAGGGTAGCCCTCTTTTTGCCGCCTCCTTTATATTTATTTGTGAAGTTTCCAACTACGGGGAGATAACTCCAGTCATACACAGCAGAAAAAAAAAGGATTTCGACCCGATGGACATTCTGCATTATGAGATGACACTCCAGTTTTATCAACAGCGTAAAAATGAGGAACTGAATGTAGGAGGAGGAAGTGAGTGTCTTGAAGATGACTCAAACTCTGGCCGTCCTGCAACTGCCACCATCGAGGACGACATTGATCGTGTTCCCCACATGGTTATGGATGCCGAGCGACTGACAATAAATGAAATAGCCAATGATATTAGCATTTCCCGTGAGAGAGTTAAGAATATTCTGCACAATGAACTTGGCATTAAGTTTTCTGATCGGGATCTTTTTTACTGCACTGGTATCTACATCACGTTTTTGTATAATTAAAATCTATAAAACTGATAATGGCATAAATACAGCAAGGGAAACGAATATTCGTCCACATAAGATTTTTAATTTATTGTATTTCCAACTAATGAATAAATATACTTTTCATATAATTAACTGCAAACAGATATATGACTAAATATGCATAGAAAACAATTTTTGTTTTATTTAATAGAAATAAATCCCATTTTAATGGGTGAAAATTATTCGTACAACACAAATTTCAGATTTAATTTTTTTTTAAATTGCTTTAATACTCTAGATTATTGTTATACCTGACGTACCTATTCTATTATTAATAGACTTTCCCACACATAAAGTAGTAGTAGTATCGGGCGCCAGTTTGGCTCAGTGGTGTTGAGCGAGTCAGTCGATATCGGACATTGAAGTACTAACCATCACAACTAGATTGCTGCGTCATTAACTCTTATTTCCAAGTTCCTAAAGTATTGTACGTCGAACCTAATTTAGGACGACTTATTGAAATACAAGCCTCCACCGTGAAAACTACTCTACAACAATTATTAAGGTGGAATGTTCTGGAATGTCCTAATAATCAGCTGTTATTTTTTTGCCTAAAAAATGCAAACAGAACATTCTGTTAAATTATATCCGTGCAAGAAAGTTATCATCATGGCAAGAGGCAAAGAATTGACAAATTCGCAAAAGGAACTGATTGTTAAGCCCTGGACAGAAAGTAACAGTTCTAGAAAAATCTCAGACAACCTGAATATTCCATTTACTACCATTAGTTTATTCATTGCAAGGTACAAAAAAACTCAAAACTGTTAAAAAGGAGAGGAGAACAGATGCTTCACGGAAGATTTCTTCAAGATCTTCGAGGAAATTAATGCTTGAAATTAAACAAAATCCAATGGTTACTCGTCAAGAGTTGCAGGATGATTTGCTTTCATCCGTAATCTGTGTCGCTAAACGGTCAATAAGCAATGAAATTCATAGGAAAAATTTAATCACGCTATCCTCGGAAAACTCTATTGCTGTTAAAAAGACACACAGATACCAGTTTGAAATTCGTTCGTAAATATAAGAATAAGGAAAATCGTATTGGGAAAAATTATGGACAGACGAAACCAAAATTGAGTTGTTTGGACGTAATTCTAAAATTCATGTTTGGAGGAATGATGGCGATGCCTTCAAACATAAGAACACTGTTCCAACAGTGAAATTTGGTGGTGGCAGCATCATGGTTTGGGGATGTTTTTCTACAAAAGGTACTGGCAATATATTAGTAATAGATGGTAGAATGAATGCCGCAGCATATCAAAATATTTGGAAGTAAATTTAATGATTTCGCTTGAAAATCTTGAACTTCCTCTTGATTGGATCATCGAACAAGATAATGATCTTAATCACACTGCAAAATCCACGGAGAAATGGCTTGCTGAAAATGATTTAAATATCCTGAAATGGTCAAGTCAAGCCCCAGATTAAAACCCAATCCAGAATCTGGCGTCTTTTTGAAAATTCAAATCCAATCGAGAGCTCCAAAAAACATCCAGTATCTGAAGACCATATGCGAAGAAGAAGGGAACAAAATACCAATTAAAATTTGTAACTCATTACTTGAGAACTACAAGAAGAGTTTGATTGCTGTAGAAGTGAATAATGGCTATTCTAAAAAGTATTAAATGAAGATTATGTATTCTTTTTTGTATTATACGAATACATTTTTCACCCATTAAAAATGGATAAATGGGGTTTATTTCTATTATATCACTATTATGTTAACTCATTAGTTGTAAATACAATAAATTAAAAATGTGTATGTGTATGAGTGCTTGTCTCCCCCACTGTATATACACAATAGTTCAAATGTTTGAGGACACCCCTAGTAATTTTTTAAATTGGCCCCAAAAGTAGTTTTGTACTTTAAATAAGAGGGAATTATTATACATGTTTAAAAAAAAAAGTGAGACATGTTTTTATTAGAAATTTTATTATGAAAAAAGAAAAAAAATCATTAAATTCTGCTCTCGTCAAAATATCCCCCAACACAAATTTTTGGCATTTTTGTAAAAGATTCTCAAAGTATAAGTTTGATAATTGATTCCATTCTTTTTTTTAATGACTCTAAGAGCTCTTTTTCATTTTTCTCTCCTCTGTCAAGTTCATCCCATGCTAATTCTGGGGGTACCTTCAAACATTTGATCTGTAGAATACGTAGCATCTTTTCGTATATCCAAAATATCTGTAGCATCTTTTTACACAGTTGAAGCACTTGTATAATCTTTTAGCATCGCTCAGATATCCATAGCATAATTTATACGGTACAGATATCTGTAACATCTTTTTACATTTCAAACATCTGTCACATCTTTTTGCACAGCTCGGACATCTATAACAACTTTTTGTACAACACAAAATCTATAACATCATTAAGATATCTGTAACGTTTTGCGCAGTTATATGTCTGTAATATATTTCGTATAATTCAAATATTTGTAACATACTTAAATAACTTAGAGCTGTGTATTTTTATGATTTATTTTAATCTCACGCCATTTAAACGGACCATGTGTTGTTGACAGAGAAAAATCTTAAAAAAAGATTTTACAGTTTTAAAGTTAATTTTAAATTTACACGTCGTGAAATTTTTATATCTTTCTTTCTCTTTCTCCCTCTCTTTATCT